AGTCTGTGAGAATCCAAGTGTTATTTGCAATCAAAGCATCCATTTCACTTTTCATGGCATTTCTCCATGATTCATGCTGGACTGCCTCCTTATATGACTGTGGTTCCTGTGATGAAAGAATAGAGGATGCACACAGTTTGTAGTTGAGGGGCAAGCAGTCATATGATATGACTTTGTCAAGGGAGTGAGGAGATGACATATTTTTGTCTAGAATCATTGTCTGGCAGTAATAATCTTGCAGTTTTGTAGGCACTTGCCTTATTCTTTCTGATCTTCTTGGTTCTATCTGGCATCTGTCTATCTGTGTTGGACTACTTGCTTCATCAGATTCATCTTCTAGAATGGTACTATTTGATGTGTCATTATTTGGTTCATGGATTGAGGTGTCAAATAATCCCAAGCTTTCAGTCCTGATACTCTCAGTTCTTTCTGCAACTTGGTCATCAATTTCTCTTCTATCCACCAGAGGTGATGTACTGATTTCAGTAGAGATTGGTATTGAAGGCAACACAGGATTGAACAATGCCTCAGCTTCAGTTTTGCCCCCTTTTAGAGGAAACTTGTGTTCATAGAATTGAACATCCCTGGATATAAAAATGCACCTGTCAACAAGATAAAACAGTATATACCCTTTTGTGTTGGCAGGAATTCCCAGAAATATGCATTTCTTGGCCCTTGGTTCCATCTTATTTCTCCCTTGGGGAATGGTGGATGCAAAACATAAGCAACCAAAGGTTCTGAGGTGCTGATAGTCTACATTTTTCCCAAAAAGAACTTCATAGGGGATCTTCTCATCAGATCTTGCAGGAGGCAACCTGTTAATAAGGTAAGAGGCATGCACAACACAATAACTCTAAAATTCCAGAGGCAAGTCAGCTTGAAATCTTAGGGCCCTGGCCACATTTAAAATATGTTGGTGTTTTCTTTGCAATCCCATTCTGTTGGGGAGTGTAGACACAAGATTTTTGGTGTACTATTCCTTTATCATTCAGAAAATTATTCATTAGGAATTCAGTACCATTATCTGTTCTTATGGCCTTAATCCTTGTATTAAATTGTGTCTCAACTTGTGTATAGAAGCTTTGAAATAGACTCTTAACCTCAGACTTACTTCTCATCAAGTGAAGCCATGTGAACCTACTATGATCATCCACAATTGTCAAGAAGTAGTGTTCTCCTGTTGTGGAGGCCACAGGAAAGGGACCTCATACATCCATATGCAAGAGGTCAAAGCACTTTTCAGTTCTAGAGGTACTGTTAGGGAAAGAGGACCTTTTGTGCTTTGCAAAATGACAAGTATCACAAGGAATATTCAGAGATTTTGACAGCTGAACATCTTTTATTCCATTCAAAAATTGAATTCTATTCACATGGTAATGTCCTAGTCTACAATGCCATAGATCTAGGGACAAGCTATTACAATGGATGATTTTATTAAGATGAATATTCTTTCCTTTTGCAGGGGGTTCACTGACCAAGTATAGACCATTCCTTTCTTTAGCAAAACCAACCATCAGTCCATTGGGAGCCTGAACCTTGCAAGAATCAGCCCTTAAAATCACTTCACAGTGTCCTTGTTTAGTGAGTTTGCTAACAGATATAATGTTGAATGTAAAGGAGGGGATATATAACACATTACTCAGCTGCATATTAAGATGTAACCTGACTTCCCCTATATGTGTCACACAAACAGTTTCACCATTGGGCAATTTTACAGATAATCCATGAACGATTTGACAGTTCTCAAAATAGTCTAGGGAGCAAGTGATGTGATCAGTTGCTCCTGAGTCTAATATCCAAGCATCATTAGAAGAAATAGCATTGACAGTATGAAGGTTGGAAATAAACCTGCCTTCATTGGTATTTGGCTTCAAGCCCTGGCTATTGGTTGTGATTGCACTTGTGGAGGGTTGATTCTCATGGTTCTGGCACTGCAGAAGAGCTATCAGCCTCTGAAATTGTTCTGCAGTCATGCCTATATCCCCAACTTGGTTTATGGAGGCATTCTGAGCTTCTTAGCCTTGTTTGTTCTTGGACTTGTACCCAGCTACCCATCCAGGGGGGGTAGCCATGCTTTTTATAGCATTTTTCCACAGTGTGAACATTCATGTTACAAAAGGTACACCTAGGTACATTTTTGCCACCATAGCTGTTAAACTTCTTCTTGTTGGTATTAGAAGCTGAGAAAGCCACAGTGATCCCTTCTGCAAACAGCCCCTCTGTAAACTGTGCCTGATTGTTTTGTATGGCATTAGATTGGATCACCTCAACAGATTTCTGGTGATTAACAGATCCATTGATCTTTCTCTCTATCTTCAAGGCCATGTTAAGAACTTTCTCCATGGTTGGAATGGGATCCATAACAAGGATCCCTGACTTTATGGTCTCGAATTCATCATTTAATCCTTCTAGGAATCTAATCACTCGATCATCTTCTTTCTCTTTCTGAATTTTACTAAGCAAAGTACAGGAGCGTCTAGGGTTGCATTCACAAATTGGCAGAGGTCTCATTGCGTTCAGCTGTTCCCACAGGGCATTACACTTGGTAAAGTATTCATTGATGGTTTTGTTACCTTGTGTGTTTCTGAATATCTCATTCTGAAGCTCAGCTATCTTGTGAGGATCTGTTTGTGAATACCTCTCCTTGAGCTTATCCCAGATGTCCTGAGCCTTCTCGCAATAAAGCACACTCTCTGCAATGGTGGAATTTAGGGATTTCAGAATCCACGAACACACTATGTTGTTGCATCTCCTCCACACAGCATATCTGGCATCGAGGCGACTTGGACAAGGAATTGAACCATCAACGAGTCCGAATTTGTTCTTCACCTCAAGAGCTATCTTCATGGACCTGCTCCACGATGAGTAATTAAGCTCTGTTAGAGGAGGAGAAACCAAGATCAGATTCGGATTCTCAGTTATGTGAAGGTAGAGGGGGTCGTCGAATTCATCATTTCGACCATTAGGGTTCAAATTCGTGGCACTCTGATGATTGATCAAAGCATTCGCATCTCCGGCTGACGTTCCTTCGCCGGAAGCTATGTTCGTCGTCACCGCTGCGGCGTAACTCCGGTAGAGCTCTGATACCATGTTGAGAACTCAAGTATGGAGTGAATCAATGTTGGATGAGTTAACTGGAAAAGGGAGAGCTGAATGCATTGAACTGGAAACGTGAAGATTACAAGCAAAGCTAAAAACTGTTCTTCCAAGAAGGAAGAAACTAGTTATATACACTGTTACACGATAACTACCAAAAGTAGTTATAAGATGAGAAAATACAAGAAAGCCCTTGGCAGTTTGGTTAACAGAAAAAAAAAAACTAGCTAAGGTAATATGATAACTTAAGATCGGACAACCCCAACCAAGTTAATCGGACGGATAGCTTGGTAACCATAAGGTTCCAAATTTGACTCTTAGTGAAAGCGATCTATTGACCTTCTTGGTTGGCTAGGGTCATAATACAATGTTTATCCAATACACACCTTTAAATAGTGGCTGCATGTTTGCTTTGTTACCCAAACCCAAACTTCTCTTAAAAAATATTTAATTCAGGCTATTACACTTCTAATTTCACATTCTTAAAAATCTCTATCACACATGTAATATCACATTTTTAAAATCTTGTATCATCTCAGAATTTAAAAGGTGGAGTCGAATCTAAATGATATGAGGAAAATAATTTATTAAATTAGTTCTTCCAATCTCATATATTCAAGAATCAAATGAGAAATGACATTTTTCTTTAAGGGATAAAGGTTAAATAGGCCCTCAAAGTATATTCAATCTATAAAAAACTCCAATTGAACCCCTCAACTCGTCAAATTAGTGAAATTCACTCATTTTACCTATAACCTTCCGATTAATGCTGACATAAGTAGTCACGTGGACTAAAAAAACAAAAAAAAAAACAAAAAAAAAAACTACCTATAACCACACTGGAGACCACTCCGGCAGTCTGAGCAGCACCTATCCGAGAGCGATCATGGCTGGTCGGGTATAGAAGCAGACAACGGAGTCTCCATGGCTACAATGTCCACATCTGTGGAGCAAAACCCGACAGCAAGACTGACTCCACCAAGGCGTTTGTGGGTGCATGAGTGGCGGTGTGTGCCTCAACCACTCTGGCCACCTTTTACGTGCCGACGGGAAGGTTCTTGGTTGGGAGTGTGAGTTTTGGGGGGGCAAACATGCAAGAACAATGCCATTTCGTTTCAAATCGATGACAGGCTTGTGGCTCCACCTGACTACAATAATGTGGTTGGAAAGAGTGAAAAGTGTGGTTAGAGTTTTTTTTTTTTTTTTTAGTCCAAGTGGTTGCTTATGTCAGCAATACTCAGCAATTCAGCATTAATCGGAAGGTTACAAGTAAAATGGATGAATTGCATTAATTTGACGAGTTAAAAAGTTCAATTGAAAATTTTTATAGATTGAGGGTCTAATTGCTGTTTTGGGTATATTTTGAAGGCCTATTTGACACTTATCCCTTTCTCTAATAATGTGAAATTGCTAAGTACATAGCCAAACACCCCTTAATGCATGGGATGGATTTTGTCATAATTAATCTAATTGTTGAGATCACATGAGAAATATTTCTGTCCCTTTGTCATTTCCCATAACAATAAATTCCCATCCTCTTCCTAAGATTCAAGGGCAGTCCAACCAATTTGGACCCACCAACCAAAAACAAAGTGCAAGAAAACACAAGCACTTTTAGGTTGGTGATGACTTTTGGCTGCATATATCTTCTTCCAAACCCATTACTAATCAATCAAATTAAATTCCTAGATCATAAGAAACTTTTAAACACTCCATTTCAGCTATACAAGACATTAAAACCCAACCTCAATCTAATCATTATGTCATTTGCTAAGAAAAAGAAATTAAAAAAAAAATCTGTTAAATAATCACAAATACCCAAAAGAAAATACTATTAATAGTACTGATGAGGCAGGAGAATTAATGCAGGAGAGAAGAAATTAAAGAAGAGGACAAGAAATAAAGAAGGCCCCTCCAGAGTTCACCTAAAACTGCCATTCAGGCAGGCTCAGGGGCTCCTTGCTTGGAGTAGCTTTAAAGCCTACCTGCATTTTCTTCTTCTTCTTCTTCTTCTCCATTTTCCCTCTTACCATCTCCAAAAAGACCCCAAAAAAAATATAAAGATCTTCAAGGAAGATAAAGAAGAATTTGGAACAAAATGTAGAAGAAAAGGTGAGTGATATCTGGGCTCAAGAAATGGGAGATCATGCCATTTTCTCCATCACCATAGCCTTCTTGCTTGTATCATTCTGCAGTGCCCACTTATCCAATGTGGATGCCTCATTGCCATCTCTTTCTCCACCTCGGAGTCCATTGATTCACCCGCATTCTCCCCCGCCTTCACACAACCACAACCCAGCACCCGAGGCGACGAAGAAGAAGAAAGGAGAAGGAGCTAACAGAAGAGTTGTGACTGCAGTTCTCATCTCTGCTGGGATAACATCTTGTTTATGCGCGATTGCCATTCTCTGGGGATGCCAGAAATTCAGAACGAAACGAAAGAATTTGGTCAGAGCCTTGTTGGTGCACTGCATTGAAGGAGAAATCAGAGGTGAATCATCTCAGAAATCAGTTGAAAAGTTAAGGTTTAAACAAGATAATCCTGAAACTGCCAATGCAATCTCAAATCAAAGAACACATGATCATACATTGAGCCAGAAATCATCATCAGAAGAAGAAGAAGAAGAAGAAGAAATAATCTGTGTTCCTCATGAGAACATAGAAGCAGTAAACTCTGATGATCAATCTTTCCATTCCATATGCAATTCATTTTCATCTGATACCATCAGGTTTTCCAATGCTTCTTCTGCTAGTAGCCTCTGTGAAGCCTCCTCAGAGATCATATCCAAACACCCTCAAAGTTCTGTGCCTTCAACAATCATAAATTCCAATTCAGAATCATGCTCTTCATCAACCAAACTTCCACCACCACCGCCGCCACCTCCACTTCCAAGACCGATTACTAATTCTGCAAAAGGTGGTTCACCTCCTCCTCCTCCACAGCCGTCTCAGATTCCTGCACCATTAGGCAAAGATGGAACTCCACTCCCAAAACTGAAACCGCTTCATTGGGACAAAGTCAGAGCAGCTCCAGAATGCTCAACCGTGTGGGACAAGCTCAAAGCAAGCTCTTTTGAGTAAGACCACATTAAATTCAAGAAGATATATATATATATATATGCTTTCTAGCTAGTAACCGGTGGCCTGTTTTTGATATCACTTGTTAGATAAAAGTTTACTATTACACCAAAAGCTATAGCTAGTAGCCAAAGCTCAACAGGTGCTGGACAGCCCTTCAATGGCCTCTGCCCAACAATCTCATGGCCACCAATTGATGGATTGGTCCTTTATCGGCCTCCGCTCAACAATTTCTCCTTTCAGCATCTGTCAGTCTTGGACTTGGCACTTTACTGGCCTCTGCCCAACACTTTGCATGCTATATTTTACTTCACCTCAAATTTGTCTAAATTGATAATGGATTGGTGCAGATTTGATGAGGAGATGATAGAGTCACTTTTTGGTTATAACCTACAAAACCCATTAAAGAATGAGGAGGTGAAAAGCAAATCCCAATCCCCATCTCCATCTAAGCATATTCTTGAGCCAAAAAGAATACAGAACATAACCATCCTATCCAAAGCTTTGAATGCCACTTCTGAACAAGTATGCGAAGCACTATTGAATGGTAAGCTGCCTCTATATATATATATATATATATATATATATATATATATATATATATCCCAAAACTAATGATTTCCCTCATTATATGTTAGCTAGCGGGAAAAGATGCAAGATGAATAATGTTATATACTTAACTTGTGTTATAATTTAAGATTGGGCTAAGACACTCAACTGGGCTATAATACACTTACACTCAAATAAAAATTGAATCCAACCAATTAGCTAGTTTAACCATGACCTTATAAATCCATATGTTCTCTCTTATTTTAGTCTTAACATACTTAAAAACATATATACAGGAAGTGGGCTGTGTTTGCAAGAATTAGAGGCACTGGTGAAAATGGCACCAGCAAAGGAGGAAGAGGCTAAATTGTTGAATTACAAAGGGGACATCAACGAATTAGCCTTGGCAGAAAGGTTCGTTAAGGCAATGCTAAAGGTGCCATTTGCATTCCTAAGAGTAGAAGCTATGCTTTTCAAAGAGACCTTCGAAGACGAAGTTTTTCTTCTCAGAACATCCTTCTCAACTGTAGAGGTAGGTAATCCACCTAGCAACCAGTGGCTCTCATAATCCATATGATACAAACCTGATTGGTCCCATTTCCCTGCACATATTATGGGCTTGGTGTGATCTAGGTTTAATTTTAGGTTGGGTAAGGGGTTTGTTTTCGAGTTCTAAGTTTGATTCTGGAGAGAAAAATGTTATGTGTACTCTCATTTTCTATTCTCAATTTTTACTCCTACACACAAAATCTTGATGTAGACATTTATATTAAGAAGAAAATTGAGGGAGTAAGATATGAGAGTACTAGAATTCTTATAAGAATGGTTTTGATGGACAAGGGAAAATTATTGTGTAGATCTTCACATAGTGCTGTGTGGATTCTAAAAGTACATTATTTGTGTACTTAATGATGTCATACCAAAATAATATACCTTCTATCAGTACTTAAATAATATACTTTCTCTGATGTGGGATAATAATTGCGCCACAAGTGAGATTTCACACTTGAGTGAGAAGTGCCATGATCCATGGCCGAACTCATAAGAAAACAATCTCAGTTTTCAATTTAAAAAATTCATCATAATAGGATAAACTAATCTTAACCAACAAAATAAATTGCAGGAAGCTTGCAAGGAGCTGAAGTCGAGCCGGCTCTTCCTAAAACTGCTAGAAGCCGTGCTGAAAACTGGGAACAGGATGAACAATGGAACAGTTAGAGGAGGAGCAAAAGCATTCAAGTTGGACACACTTCTTAAGCTCTCAGACATAAAGGCAAGCGATGGAAAAACCACTCTGCTCCACTTCGTCGTCCAAGAAATCACGCGACCACAATTACCATCATCTCATCTTGTTTCTGCAGCTCTAAGTAGTGAGCTGTGCAATGTGAAAAAGGCTGCAGCTCTAGACTTAGATGCTCTCGTAAGCTGTGTCTCGAATCTGTCAGGTGGGATAGCCAACATACAAAATCATCTAATGCTCGAGGATAATGATGATGATAAGTTTGTGGACGAAATGCGGGTGTTCTTGAAGCATGCAGAGAGGAGTTTGAAGGAGGTGCGCGAAGATGAGCATAGGGTTATGTTAGGTGTGAGACAAATTACAGAATACTTCCATGGAGATGATGTGAGGAAAGAGGAGCCCAACCACCCACTAAGGATTTTTGTAATTGTTAGAGATTTTTTGGGTATGTTAGATCGCTTGTAAAGAGCTTATTACTTATTGGCAACTTAACATGAGAGCTACAACAATTAAGTATACTAGTATGTACAAACCATTTATCTGTATTCTAGTAGCTAGTATTTTTTTTTTTTTTGTACATATAGATCCAGTTTATAGGACAAGATCTTGTGTTTCAATTGGTTGAGAAAGTAGTTTATGAACAGATACTACATTGTAATAGAGTCACTAGCATTCAAAAAAAGATCCAGTTTATAGGCTATGAAGGGGAGAGGATGGAGCTCTTGAGATGTAGTTAGCTAGTATTTCTAAGATTGATTACATGCAACACATTTTGCAAACTAGTTTTGTCTCACAATCTTCCAGTTTCAAAATATGTTCATTTCTTTTTAATTGACATCATATCTTAACCTAAAGTCAAAACTAGTACTATCTGGTTTGTGCTGATTGATTTGTAAATTATGGGTTTTTTCTTATTATCCTACCTGAAATACATGTAATCATTTGACCCAAAGTCAAATTTCAAATTCCTAATTTCTTCTCCCTTATGCGGAATTTCTCTTATTCGGAACTCTCCCATGTCATATCAGAAGCAAAGATCTCAGTGGAATGCGTTAAAAGAAAGTGCATAACCAGTGACAATTTTAAGGCATTCCGGCCAGCAGATCAGAGGTTTTTGGGCAATTTATTTTTTTAATTTTTTTTTTTTTCCACAATTGGAGAAGAGAAGGGATCGGTTGGAGGATAGAGAAAAAAATGAAATTAGAAAAAAATTATAATAATCAAATTCCAACTAGAAATGAGATCGAAAAGACTTGATTCAAGTCCGAGCTCGTGTGCGCGGGTACGAATGTCATTCGGAAATTGACTGGCCTTGCGGACATAAATTATGCCAATTTCTGTACAATTTTTTCTAACACTGAATAGCAACACCACAAGAGTTCGAACTCTCGTGTGCGCTACACGAGAGATCAAACTCTCGTGTGCGCTACACGAGAGATCAAACTCTCGTGCGCCAGTCATGAAGTCACACTCGTGTGCGCTACACGAGAGTTGAACTCTCGTGCTGCTGCTGAGCAGCACGAGAATTTGACTCTCGTGTTGTGAGCACACACGAGAGTTCAGTCTCGTGTGCACTGACGCACGAAAGTTCGTACGTCTCGAAAGTGGCTGCCTTGGACGAAAGTAACCGAGCTGAAACTGTGCGAATCATTCGTTGGTTCTGGACTGTTACATAATTAATCTTGTATTAATTCCAATTTTGAATTTTGAATTAAAACTCAAATAATGGTAGTTGTTTCAGGTGTTACAAATCGTGCATTAAATGCGAAAATTGAATGCTATTGATTCTTCACCTCCTATATAAGGAGTGTAGCAGCAGTGTTTCTACACGGACTTAGAACAACACACACAACACAGAAAATTTTGTTTTCCCAGCTCCAAAATCTCTGCTCCTACTCCATTCTTGAAGCTGTGTTCTGCCCGTGCTCTTGTTCGCCGGGTTCGTTCGTTTGGGTGCTCAAACGTCGAACCGTTGTACGTTTTATCCTGGGAAACCTAGGCCACAATGCTCCTAGCACTCTTGGGAGGTGGCAAATAAGGTTTTAAGGAAAAAGGCACTTCGCCGAACTCGTACCAATCTTTCTTCCTCTCTTTCTTTCTTGTTTTGGATTATGCTCTAAGCAAAAATCCTTGCTTCTTTCTTGTTGGATTGGAATTATAATCCGAGGATTATAAGTTCCAATTTTTGGTTGATATATATTGGTATATCTTTTCGTAGATATATACGTATATATAACCTTTATAGATATATATATTGGTATACCTTTTGTGTGTGTGTATATATATATATATATATATATATATATATATATATATATATATATATATATATATATATATATATATATTTCGGATATATATCCAATAATATTTTATATATATTTTTGTGTGTATGTATAAATATTATTTTTGGGATATTAAATCGATTATGTTAAAATGAAACTAGTGTGTGTGAAAAATGAAACTAAAAAAACAAAGCACATTCAACAACATATTGTCAAATATGAAACTGTAGTCTAATTAAAATGATACTTTAATGTTGTTAAAATGAAATTAGTGTGTGTGGAAAATGAAACTAAAATTCAAAACCATACAATAATATATATTGTCAAATGAACGTGGAGTGTAATTAAAATAATACTTTAGCATTATTATGGGTTTGTGAGTTGTTTGAATCAAGACCTTGTAACCAAAATACCTAACTTCAACGTCATGGATGCATGACAATTTCAAACATGCCAAAAAAGATGTGAATAGTTAGTCATAATATAATGTTGGGTGAAATGCCCCTAGAAAAGGCAACACACAAAGAAGGGAATCGCAATATCCGATCTTTCTGTAAATAGATAGAACATATATCATCTCATCTCCACCTAATTTACCACATTTAGGATTGCTGTTGGATGGCATGAGTTCATAGACCTACTAGACAATGCATAAGAATCAACATATATATGTTGAGCATATAATATATAAAATATAAATATGCATCTAACCATCAATTTAAACATTTAGTTGAGACAGAATATATCATTCAATTTCGAGAGTCAAACTAAAGCAAGGTGCATGTCACATTGTCACCTGATTAAAACAAAAAAGACTATAAACCACTCAAAAAGTAACAAGCATGTACAGCAAGGACATGTTAAGCATATAATATATAAAACATAAATATATAATTCAACTATTCGTTTAAACTTTTATTTCAAATGGGATACATTCTTTAGTCATATAGCTTTAACTACATTGTAGAAACTCATAACTACAAAGCATTAACTCCGATCCGGAGAAGCTCAATGGACAAACCCCCAATTCAACAAGGATTCATGAAATTAAATGTTGATGCAGCCTTTGACACACAAGGAGCCCGCATGGGATTTGGGTGCGTCCTTATAACGATCAAGCTAAGGTCATTTTGTGGCAGCAAGAGGATCCCAATGGCGGGGAATCTATAATGACTCCAGAGAGGCGGAGGCAGTAACAATTAGAGAATCATTCAGCTGGCTCAAATCAATGTGCTTATTGAGACAGACTCACACCAACTTGTGCAAGGTTTCAACTCTTTCAGGGGTGATTCTTCAATTCCTTTCACTTAGTATTAAAAACTTAATGAGTTTGTTTACTCATGTTAGTTTGTCATTTGTTAGGCGATCCACAAACTAGGCTGCACACTTATTAAATTAGCTAGCCAGTCTGTTTCCATGTCGAATTGCATGCTCAGAGTGGTTTTTAACCCCCTTATCATTTGTAATGTTTTATCTTTGGAGCTTATCTAATACTAGTTTTTTACGCGCATTGCGCGATTGAGATAATGCCCAATGTTTTTTTTTTAAATAAGTACTTTAAAGTATATTAAGGCAAGATTATATTGAAATTGTTCATGCATAGATAATTGAAGGTTGAATTTGCGTATTTAAATAGGTAATTCTTTTCCCAAAGGTTGAGTCCCCAACCCCAAGGGCCCCCCACACTCCGACCCGACAGAGCATTGTGGGAAGTTGCACTCCGACCCGATAGAGCATTGTGGGAAGTTGTAAATCACGGTGACTCAATGGTTCAGCAGACAGGGCCAAATGCTGATACGCACAAGGAATCTGCCCACTTTGGACATAATTCCCGCATTGCCGCCGCCGAGGTTCAAACCTTGGTCTTTTCCCCCAAATACTACATACTAAACCATTGAGCTAAGCCCGTGCGGGTTAAATAGGTAATTCTAAGTTTACAAATGCAAGATAATATAGTCGATATTGATTATAATTGTCAATAAAATAATTGTATAGGTATGGTTGAAACCAAATACGGGACATAAGGGAGAACAAATAAAAATTAGGGCATAAAATATTAAATATATACCAATATTGTTTGAGGAGATTCCGACATTAGGATCTGTGGTTAAGTTCTATTAAGACTTTAATATTAGAATTAGATTAATGGTGTAGTTATAATTCTATATTAGACTTTAATATTAGAATTAGACTAACGGTGAATGAACGGAAAAGTTAAATGGATAATCATATAATTAAGGATAAATTAGAAAATCTTAAAAGAAAAAAATTAAAACCTGAACAATATGAACCATTCATTTGATTTAATAATTTGGCGGTCATTTTTTCTACCCAATGTTAATAATTAAATAAATTCGCTAGTCAAATCCGCTAGTATAATCCGCTAACGCTAACCGCTAACTGCTGATTGTCAAACAAGGACATTGTGAGGTAGTTCTCACTTCAATTTATTGTGTGATTTGAATACTCTCTTTGTTACAAAATCTCTCAAGTAGTTAATATGGTTGGCTTTATTAATTATATTTTTTTTAAAATTTTTTCATGGTATTAATAAAATACTTGGTAAATAAATATATAGCATTATTTTATGTTATAATTTTGATATTTAATTAGAAAAATAGTGCACAAAAAAGATAATAGATAATGTAGTGAATATAATCAATTGATGAATTTGAATGTAAAAATTTTTACATTTGAGAAAAATAAAGACAATATAACTAATGAAAATATTTCTTTTAATTAATTTATTGATAATTAATAATTTTTTTTTCACTGAATAAAGACATTGTAAGGACAATGTAGCGAATATAATCAATTAATAAATTTGAATATAAAGAATTTTTATATTGAAGAAAAATAAAGACAATATAACTAATAAAATTATTTATCTTATTTAATTTATTGATAGTGAATAATTTTATTTTTTGAATAAAGACATTGTGGACACATAATTCTAAATTAAAGAAATGCATATGTATTATTTTTTGTTATAACTACTAAATTATTATTTATATAATTTAATAAGAGTAAAATAGAGTACTAATTATGCCAACTTTGATTGGGATTAGGTTCAAACCTAAGACATTTTTTTTTATTGAAATCAATGAGTAAGTTAACGGTGAACTAACGGCAATTCTTAAAATTTTAACGGAATTAGTAACGGTGTGTGGGTATTTTAGGAAATTTTAGTATAAAATTTAAATCTGATCAATCTTTTAATCAATCTGAGTC